GGGGGGGGTTCAAGCTCAGCCCGCCACCTCTCGACCCAGGACTGTGTTTGAACGTGGAGAGTCACCTCCAGGTTCTGCTGGGGTGGGGTACAGTCTCTGCCTCAAATCAGTCCACCTGGGTGTCGGGCTGGGATCTAGAGCCCCTGTCTGGGGCCCAGACTGGGGGAGGGGCGGGCGAAATCTCTACACCAAAGTCTTGTCCGTGGGATTATTTAGCAGAGGGCATTTTTAACAAAGCAGCCCTCTTCCAAAAATCGCCCACTCATCCCCTTTCCCTCTAGTGCCCTCAAGCTCTCAAGATTTAGGTGCTCACAGTAAGAGGGCGGGGGAAAAGGAATCCCAGGACAGGAATGAGCGCCTGACCGATATGGGTGGACCGTCTAAACCCTGCACCCACGCTCAGGGCACCCGGAGACAGGGTACACTCGAAGCAGCTGAAGCTGCCCCCAGCACTTTCACAAGCCACCTGAGGTTTTGTTTTGTTTTTAAAAAGTAATGTAAGGAATTAAGAAGGCCTCAAGGAGAAAGGTGGTTGGAGATCGGGAGGGTCCTCACTGGGCCGGACCCAGCCCTGGCGCTGGCTAAAAAGCAACTGTTTCTCTGGCACCCCACTGGCTCTCAGACCGACGCGCCCCCAGCCCCAGAACTGCTATGTGTCGGGCTGAGAGCCCTCGCCGCCGCCTGCCGCACCGTGACGTTGCAGAGTGAGCCCCGCAGACTCCGGCGACAGGGGATTTTTCAAGGGGGAAATGATGATTAAAAGAGAGAATCATCTAAATATCAAAGTGACACATGAGGAGACCTGGAAAAAATATTTAAGCTAATGAAAAGCAAATAAAGAAGCAGACACTTAGGCTGGGAAATTAAATATTATGTTTAAGATGGTGCTTTTGTGCGGGCTTGAAGATTTCCGATTCATGTACACATAATAAACACTCAGGTTTGTCATCTGGAGGTGCAAATCTGAAAGATATTCCAACAAATGAAGTGCTGGCAGAGAGAGGAATAAAGAGATCGGTGCCTGTCAGGGGTCAGGCAGCCTGAGATTGCTTCTAGAGATCTTTTGAAAATTTCACACGATTGAAGGCTTAGGGGCTTCACTGCGTTCGCATTTCAAACTCAGATCAGTGGGATCACAATCAAAAATAGAGGTCTGGAAAATTTTGATGCAAAGATGGCCACGGGCTGCAGGGCTTCTCTCACTAGCTCGCTCTCTTTTTTTTTTCTTTCCAAGACAGACACTCTGACATGGCTGTGATCCTTGGGATGACAGAGTTGTCAGAAAAGAAAGAGAAAATTGCATCTTGTCTCGTAACTTCCTTTCAGTCAAAAGGAATTTAGGGTCTTATTTCCAATAAAAGAGAGAGAGAAAAAAAAGATGATTCATTTCTAGCAAGCATAGGAAGCTCAAAAGAGTATGGGATTTCATAATTAGTGATCTACTCCTAGACATTTAGGTGTGGTGACCCTCTTCATTTATCCAGATTAAGATGATTTCTCATTCAGTTTACAATTTGACATTACATTGAAAATTCTTCCCAATTTCTTACCACTATCAATTGTATGCATATTCAGGTGTATAAACATGATTACACGAGTATGCACTTCAACATGTATGTGTGCACACGCGACTTCAATACCAAACCTAGAGAGCGGCCTGGCTGCCTCAGAGTCCATGGGAGTCAGTGCACACTCATATTTTACTCACCCACCCCCAAATGCCAGCATTTTCTGGTTCAAACAGGACACAGAAAAATCAATTGTCTCTGCGATTGATCCACCACAGGAAAAAATAAATAAGAGGACCTGAAGAGAAAGGTACTGTGAGAACAAATCAAACTCAGGAACTTTGAAATGGAAGTGGGCTGAGCAGATGCAAAGGAGCTGGGTAGCTAGATGGGGGGACCAACTGGAGAATACCTTGAGAACAGCCAGAAATAATGACAACTATGCCAAATGTGAATCATCTGAAATAAATTGCTATTGGTTTGGCAAACTTTAGGAAGAGTAGACAAAAGGACTAATCTAGGATCACTTGACCAATTTTAATTTTCACCTGATTATCTTAGACAGACGAACAAGGTATATATATATATTTTGTGAATAATCTGAATTATAGTTAAGTTTCATTAATTCTAAAACCAAGATGAACGGAAGTTGGATTCCGGAGAACTGCCCTTAAATGCATATGTTTGGAGATCTCTATGGAGCAGGAACCCCACAGTCGAAGAAAAGGAGACCTGTATATGAAAAGCTTCCTATATTTCCTGAATTATCGACTCAATCTATTAATAACATGTGTTGTTTCACAGGTGGGCAGAAAGGGAAAAGTGTAAGAATTATTGTAACCGGATTTATAAGTTCGAATCAGTTACTCCTCTAGCTTCTGCAGGCTGGGGAAGGTGCGCCTGGGGCTTGGGGGCAGAGGCAGAACCCAGCAGAATATGCGGAGGCTGGACGGGCCCCAGGAGGCACAGGCGGGGGGTGGCAGGCTGAGAAGGAATATTTAGTTCCTGCCGCCCTGGGTCTGGTGACTCTGTGTCCCTCAAGCCCCACATCCGGAACCCTAGCAGACACACAAGTTGTAATTCTGGTGGGGAACTTCCCACCCTGAAGGTTTTGGAGAGAGCCAGATGTCTACAGTGCTGCTGCTATCCCCAGATCGGCTTCTCCAAATATTTTTTCCCAGATCCACAGTAAAGTAATAGAGAGCCAGTCCCAAGTATAACTTTATAACACTTGAGCAGAGATGCAAACGAAGGCCTTCCCTTTGGAGAAGAGCCACCCACAGGGCTCTCAATCTCGCTCTTGCTTCATCTCAGAGGAAGGACTGAGGCCCCCAACTGGGCGTTAAAAGCGGGAGGGGGGGTTGTGCGGTGAATTCGCGGGGGGCTAGTCCTGGCGTCCAGAAGAAGCGCTAGGAGAGAAAGGGGGCTGGCGGGATGAGGGCAAGGGAGCCAGGAGAAGTAGGAGGGGACCCTTGGCCGAATGGGGACTGCACTGACTCAGAGCTAGAGCTGCCAAGCGGCCGGAGCAGGGAGGCCGCGCTGCTGGGCTAGGGCTCCGCTGAGATCCACGCCACCGCGGGCAAGCCAAGTGCCCGGGATCGCCCCTGAACTAGGCCGAAGACGGATTCAAGTCTCCTCCGGTGGAATGTGGGAGATTGTGGGATGACTTCTCCCGCACAAAATGCCAGACCTGGCAGGCGCCTCAGTGAAAACAACACGACGAAGGGGGCTCGAGAGTCGCCCACTTTGCCCTCTAAACAGGGGCATTCTCCAGCCAAGAGGGGCGATACGACCCATGCAGCTTGGACCGCGCTAGGGACCCGTGCGGCGGCGGCGCGGGGTGTCATTTTCTCAACTTTTAAAGAAGGAGCTCCAGGGGAGGGGACGAGGGCGGCAACCCCAGATCAGAAGCTGCCGGTGACCTCGGGTTATAGGGACGGGTCCTTTTTTCCTACTGTCGTCAGCCTTGGGAGTCGAGGACTCGCCAGTAATCTTTCTCTTGCTATCCCATTCTCTTCTTACCAAAAAGAAAGAAATTGAAAAATGTAAGGGCCCAGCGGAGAATTGCAAACAGGAGGTCAGAAGCTTCACCGAGCTTGAGAAGAAGCGGCGCCTCTAAATTTTAAAGCAAACAAAGTCAAAACAGCCCAAGAGACTGGCCGCACATGGGCCAGGGCTGCCTCGGTGCTTGTGGGGCAGAGCAGGCGCCGAGCACCCCGCTCCGGGCCCGCAGGGGCAGACGCCGGGCTGGGCCATAGCGGGCCTCTGGCTGGCTGGCTCTGAGTCAGGAGACCCCAGTGCACCCCTCTTCGCATCTGTTCGTCCCCTTTCGGCAAGCTGGCTGCGGGGGAGGGAGGTCGCCCCCTCCTTACCAGGAACGCGTGCGGGGCGTAGGTGGAGAGCTATGGGGGGCCCAGAGGCCTCGCAGCCACGGCCCGGGCGCTGTCCCAGCCGCTGTACCGCGCCCTGTCCCCTCCACAAGTCAAACACTAAAGCACCCCGGGGACTAGCCCAATATTAGGTGGGCAGAATGAAACCTCCGGATGCATCTTTTGGCTGTGTTACCCCCAGCGTGGAAAACTGAGCTTTCTGCTGCTGCAGAGAGAGGTCCAGCCCCACCCCCACCTCCGGGGGGCTGGGAACACAGTCGGACACCTGCGTTGCCATCTTGACCTTTTCTGAAGTGATGTTTTAAAGAATATCATGAAGCTAAAAACTCCAGGCGAGGCAATACCTTTTTTCTCGTTTCGATATGACACCCACTAAATCAAATCCTCTTTTAAGCCATTTTCACTCTAACTTCAAAGGAGCGAATGTTAGTTTTACCTTTATTTAAATGATTGCTTAGGCTGACTTGTTAGAGTTTCCCCCCTCCTCCAGCCCTCCCTCTGGATTTTAACATATTGAGTTCAGGAATGATTGAGCTGCCACTCTGGAAAGTAAGCCACCGCCTCCCCTCTCCCACACACCTCGCCCTTTTTGGTTGTTGTTGGTGTTAATTTCATGGAAGACTATTGAAAGTTTAGCATGAAATGCACATGCCGTGACACAGGTGGGGAGTTATCGCCACTGAACTAGAAATGGAAACACATCAGGAACAGACCTGGCCTTTCCCTGGGTGCCTGCAGGCCGTGCCACGTGGGATTTAGTGGGCTCCTAATGTGAGCCTTTATGACCTTAGCTCAAGAATGGGTAGTTGGGGCCCGCGTGCTCCCAGATTGCCACACCCCCAGGCGGCTGCAGGGGACTAAAGCTCTGTTCCTTGAAGGCAAGGCTGTAGCCAGGGAAGGGAATGCGAGGAACTTCAGGGCGAGCTTTTTGAGCCGCGACCAGTTTTTAGGATCTCTTGCCAATTTCTCAGTGTGTTTCTGTCCAGATAGACTAAGCTCTTTGGAGTTAATTAACCTGTGGTCCAGCTACAATTAATACAGAGCGAGGAAAAGACAGAAAGCGGGGAAATCAGAAGGAAGGGGGAAATAAAAGTAATGTGCATCTAGCCGGATTCCTTTACTCTGGTCGGTCACAGTTACCGACTTTCCAGCTGTGAGGACGATGCGCGCCATTTACTGTAATTGAATTGCTGTTATAACACCTTTCAAGGGGACAGCAATGCGTTTCAAAAAAAAAAAAAAAAACGTTGCTGTGTGCCGTGGTCAGCGGTTGCCTGCGCTCCTCCTGGCGTCGCCAGTCGCCGGTTACACGAGCTGCCCCACAGGGATGGGATGGTTTCGGGCGCTGGATGTCCCCGGCTTTGCTGATACTCTGGGCATGCTGGAGACCCCGAGTTGGCTAGAACCTGAAGCTGAACTTGAATAAGGGATGGGGTAGGACCTGAAATTGCAGAGACAGAGAAAAATCAATATGTGGTCAAGAGTAAACTACGTGCGACCAAGGCCTTTGCCCTCACTCATCCGTTTGATTTGGACTCTCTGAAGCTGCCCGCTGCTGGGGTGGCTGGACAGCGCCACCTGCCCCTCCCCTTTCTCTACCCTTGGCTGGGCTTCTCCGGGAACCTACTCGCCTTGAGGAAATAGGAGTGTTTCCTGCCCCGGGGCGTGGAGCCAGAGACTGGGGCCCCTTGTGGAGATGCTCTGTCATGTGCCCCTCCCTCCCCATCCCCACACCCAGCGCCACTCGGATCCGCAGCCCTTTGGGCCTCGCGCCCAGGGTAAGAACCTGGGAGCCAGCAGGACCCGCCACCTCAGTTTCTCAGCACAGCCTCTGGACTGTTCCCTCGGCCTGCGGAGACTTTGCTCACCTCTCCCACCCTTCCTCGAGTCTTCCCCATCCTCCAGCGGTGTCCTAGTTTTGACAAGAGGGGCCAACCTTTGTCTCCGCCATCCCTCACCTCTCATGGGCCCCTCTCGCCATCTCCACAGAGCGTTCTAGGCACAGAAAGCAAACCGCAGACTCAGACACTCCCCAGGACAGCCAAGGTGTCCGGCCTTCAGCGCTGCCTCTGTCGCGGTCTGCAGGAGCGCAGCAGGTTGAAGGAAGTGGCTGGTAGCAGAGGGAAGGCGATCTTCCCACTCTACTGGCCCGAATAAGGTCCCCACGACTAGTTTTAAAAAGCTCCAGGGAAAGGCAAGAGCTCGAGGCTAGAGTATGCTTCGCCGGCCCTGGGAGGGTGTCCAGAGTGAGGCTGGGGCGAAAGCACTGGGCAGGGAGGGTACTGCAGGGACTCGGGCAGCCTGGATCTGGCCCTTGCAGGTCAGCAGGAGGAGGCTGGGACATTCGCACCTACACCGGACCCCAGTGTCAGGCAAACTACGCGGTAGAAATAAGCGTGGCTCCAAAGTACCGTCCAGGGGAGCTGGGATTGCAAGCCGAGGGCAGAATAAGGGAGAAGGAGCGAACTGTCGGGGAAGAGGAACCACGGTGGGGTCTGGCCCTGGAGGGTGGGTGGGTCGGAAGACTGGGGGCTGGGAGGTGCGCGAGAGGGCCAGGCTTGGCACCCACCACCCTCCAGTATGACTCTAGTTGATCTTTTCCTGGGAGATCTTCAGCTTCCTTTGGGTTTGCTAGACATAAGGTTGTCTTGGGAACCAGAGACTCATTGCTCTTGGAGGCGCCCAGCAACTGGGGCGTGTGGAAGATCTTCGCCCTCCTCCCCCCAGAGCTTGTTGCACAGTTCCCGGCCCCCACCCCCAGCCGCCTACATCTACTTTTCTGAGAAACAAAGTTCTGTCCTTTCCTGTGTGGCTGGGAGATGGGGTCTGGGAGGATTCCTGGCCGCCTGATCTCTGGTAGCTTCCTGTGGAGGGGGACAGGTGGAAGGTGGAGTTGAGGGGCGGTAATAACTGGAAGGAGAGAGCGAGCCAGGCCCTGGCTTTGATGGGCAGCCCTGAGGCCGGGTTGGAGATAGATCGCTTCAAGGCTCAGCTGAAGACAGAAGAGAATTTGGCCCCACAAGAATACATCTGGAACCAGTTTTCTCCGCGGGTAACCCCGTGGGTCTTTGCTTTGCACCTTGGCGTCCCAGAGAAAAGACCCGCGTGCGCCTACCTCTCTGCGTCGTGGCGAGCACCGGCAGGCGCCCGAGAAAGAAAGGGCTCCAGAGCGCGTTAAGGAGTGAAGAGCCCAACGTCGTTGAGCTCACCCTTGCCGGGCGGGCTGACCTGACCCCCTTTGCGCGGCGCCTCAGCCAAGGCTGGGCTTCTGCTTGGTGGCAGGCTCATTCCTCACTGCGCTGCTCCATCTATCCTGGCTGTTCATCGCGGCACCCCACGTTCTGGCAGAATCCATACCCCTTCCATTTTTGATCTTCCATCTCTAGACTTTTTTTCAGCTGCGATTTTCACTGGGCACTAATTTTGGGGAACAAAGTTGATTGTGAACAGCTGCAAAGATTCTTCTGGAAAAGGCATGGAGAAAAGAGAAGTAAGGAGTGCTGATTGAACCACCCTACTGGTAGCTAAGCCCCTTACCTGCGTTATCTCTTGACAGCCTCATCTCTTGACAGCCTCACAACATCACCAAGACATAAATACTGGCATTGTCAACGTTTTGCTGCTGTGGAAACAGGCTCTGAGAGGTTTAGGAGCCCTGACTAAGCTTAGCCAGCTAGCAATAGGCCAGGCCTAGATGCAGCTGGGATGGCTCTTCTGCCCACCAGCTTCTGTCCCAGGCTGGACTCAGGAGACAAATCGTTGCATTTGGATTGTCAAATGGAGCTTCTCTCTGGGGTGGAGCAGAGCTCATCCCGAGACCTGTTCCATCCCACAGGGATCCAGGCAGAGGTTTCCCAGTGGTCCCCAGTGCCCAGTCTGGTCAGCTGAGAGGTGTGAAGCAGATAGGCAAGCGATAACTCTCCAAGGGACAGCCTGCTGCTTCCAGGGCCAGGAGTCAATGTGACCCTTGTCTTTCTGTAGTTTAGAGATGAACCCGGGTGCTTTTTGTGCTGTGTCCCTGTAAGATAAGTGTGTTTCCCTTAAAGTATTCCTTTGTGAGAGTCCATTTAAAGAACACTAACATTTATAAGAGGGAGAGAGGCAAAAAGAAAAGAGATCACCTGTAATAATGGGCAACCCTCTGACATATTATTCCTGGGAGAGGAACATAGGTTGGTGGATGGCAAAAGTGCAATTTGCAACATCAAAACAAGTAGTCGCATTTCAAACACTCCAACATGCCCCCTGTTATGATGCGGAAAGATACTGATGTAAACACACACAGGAGAATTTTTCTTGTCTTAAGAAATCCCATTTTCCTTATGGATCCCAGAAAAATGTTCTCAGATTGGAGCACAGAGCTGTCCTTTTATGGCCACCTGTCTACAGGTGCTAATAGAGGGACAAACGGCAAGGAGAGCATTTTCTCACTTTGTCCTTTATCTACTTCCATGTTCTTTTCACAGTAGTTTTATGAGGAATTAAAAAACTTTTAAACTATTTTTTTTCCCCTCAACTAGGAAAGCAGATTATGCCTTGAGGGTAACAACAGATTTGTGTAGTAGCAAGGACAGAAAACCATTAATTATCCTACTAAATTGGTATGGATAATGTTTGACCTAACCTTTTGCCTTTTCTTTTGTAGTTTTGCTTTTTTCAACTTTCTCATGAGGGTAGTTTTTTAAGCTAAGGAGGTCCGTATTCAGTGAATTTAAGAAAATACCCTATATAAGTATGTATATGTGTGTGTGTGTGTGCATATATATAATAACAAACAAAGCATATTTGTCCTGACATTAACCATGTAGATAGACCCAGGCAAAGCAGTTGGAAGCTAGTGGACACCAAGAGGCCCAGTTTATCTGTAGCCTATCACTTCTAATATTGAGGCCTATGGCATCAGTTGTTACCTGTTACCTGAAGAAACTCTTAGCTATGTGATCCAGACATGTTCCTACTTCATTTATTTTTAATTTAATTTGACTCTTAAAATGGCATATGACACAATTAGTTGTATTATTTCCATTTTATGCATGTGAACATTGAGGTACAGAGAGGGTGAAGTCACATGCTCATAGTCATGCACAGTCAGTAAGTGGCAGAGGCAAGGTTTGAACCAAGGCCACCTGACCACAGAGTTTCTGCTAATAAAAGAAACATCACAAAGTTTTTCATTTTGATCAAGTCCATGGGAAGGTTATATGCAAATATATATATTTTTTCGTTTTAAGAATATATTCTTTTTGGGAGGTGAATAGGTGGATTGAAGGGTGGGGAATGTGAAGATACATGTATTTCCTCCCCCCATGAATTGCCTCAATTTTCCATTTCATAACTGTCTTCAAAATTTTTACTTCCTTGGGCTGGGCACGGTGGCTCAGTAGGGCACTGGGAGGCAACTGCAAGTATTAATATTATATATATTCAGTCAAGCAGAAGAGAAAATCCAAAGCAAAGTAAACTGCTGATCGTTATTCAAATTTGGTGTCTGGAAGCAAACTAAACTTACCTCTCCACAGGGCTAAGACATCTCCATGAGGCTGAGCATTTACTATTTCTAAGGCCATTGTGAAATGAAAATCAGTGTATCCAGTTAGGTATTATTTTGTTGGGAAAGGATCCCTACATGGATGCCAGAAAGCTAAGGAGCCCATGCCTCATCCCCTGGGAAGCTAGCTCAGGCATTCAAATCTTCAGCATATATAAAGGAGCCACCCACGTGTTTGTTACTCATCTGGCTGGAGGTGGTCGGTCTAAGTCAGCCTGTCCTAGAGGAATATTGAAAGTCAAGATCAGCTATGGCTATCTAGTTATGCCCAAGGCCTTTTCCTAATGAGCTTCCTGTCCTGGGAAGTGAGTCATGGGATATTTGGTAGAGGTGGAAGTGCTTTTTGTGTGGGGCTTTGGGTGTGAGTATATAGCATGGAGAAAGCAGGAATCTAGTGGGAGAAGAGTGATTATTTTCCTGCTTCTTTTGGAAACTTTCTTATTTGTGCATTTATTTAACATCCACTTATTGAGTAGGTAGGATATGCCCAGCATGGTACAAGGCATTTGTGGATACAAAGGTTAATACGTCACAGTCCCTGCCCTCAAAGATATTTTAGGTTAGTGAGGTGGAGACAGGATAGCATGACATTACAATAAGTTCTGATAACTGGTCCAAAGAGACATGAAACTTTTTTTTTTTTGAACTATGAACTTGAGAGAGTGATTCTTCCTGACATGGAAAACTGCCCCGGAAAGATTTCACGGGGAAGGTGATTTTGACATGTGTCTCAGAGGATGTGAGAAGTAGGGGCAAAGGGAGGGTGGGGACAAGAGAGAGAGATGGCAATTCCACTGAAGGGAAGCACAGAGCAAAGGTGGAGGAGGAGGTCAGACCCTGTCCTTATTCCTCTGGGGGACAATCAAGGTCATTGTGGGGATTTTTGTAAAGCAGCTATGGGTTTCTCAAATAGTCCTTAATTGGTATGCGTATTCTCCTCTGTCATTTTCATGGGGTGTGGGCAGAGGAGTGGATTTGAAATGGTTTCCAAGAGAACAGAGTTCTTTTTGTTGAGTTTAGATCAAACAAAAGAGTGAATAGATGCAGCTTATTGTGTCCTAGGCATTTACCTGAAGGTCTAAGACAGAGGGAAGGACACACCAATGGAAACAAGGTTGTGGAAATATCAGAGGAGATTAGTACATGGAGAACTGTGGCCAAAAATAATTCTCGCCAGAATGTATACTAACTTTGCAAGCATGCCAGAAGTATTGGTACCTTTGGCTTCCTCCTCAGTGCTCCTGCCTCTATCAGAACAGATGAAACATGCTGTTTTGGTTAATTCTCTGTGTGTCTCGATGTCCCTCAGGGCTAGAAGCTCCTTGGAGGCTGGGAGTTTGGCTAATTCGCTTATGTTTCCAGCCCCTGGCATAGTGCCAGGCACATAATAAGACCTCAGTACGTTCTGAATGAATGATGCAAGTTTAACCGTATTGGTATTAAATTCATATTAATTATGATTGGAGCATCTGAATATCTTTTTTTTGTTGTTTGATTTTCATTTGGGGTTTTTCAATGTGATTGCATAAAGAAGTCATTGTCAAACTAGTTCTTACTTATAGTGGGACTAGCCTGGGAGAACTGAAGGACCTGGGCACAGATACTAAACTGTGTGCTCTGCCTTGACCTGGGCAGTCACTTCCTAAGAAACTCAAAAGCACCAAGTGGGAAAACTACTGTCCAAGAGGCTTCAAATCAATGTTGTCAAATTTGTTGCTTTAGTCACATCTTGGTGTGATTGTAAAGCTCAATAGTGCTCCTTATATTGGTCTTTCTACCACTCAGAGACATGATAAAATCACACAGCACTAAAATTCCACCTTTGTGTATGTTTTGTTGTTGCAGTTGTTGTTACTTTATGTATAGTTTGAACATTAGTCAAGATACTTAATTGAACTAAAGAGTGGGTTAAGAAGATACTGTCTTCTTTGCTCCATGGATTCCATATAACTTTTGGATGAAATAGGGAATGGCCATAACCTGAGTACTTAAAAGTAAGTATCTTATGGCCACCATCCCAGGGAGAGGGCAAGGTCTACATAGGAAGATGGATTCCTCTAAGAAGTTTTGATGCCCTTTTTTTTTTTTTTTTTTTTACCACTGCTCTGTGTTAACATTTTCCAACGTAGGCACCAATTAGATCTTGGAAATGACTATGAAGAAAAGCATTAAATGAGATCAAAACATGATCAGCTCCCTCTGAATTCTACCTTATGTTTTAGCCACTCTATTGGCTCCCTGGCTTGGAATAATTTCAAATTCCCACTGGCTTAGTGGCAAGACATCTTCTCATTCTTCTTTTCTAAATATATTCTTTCTTTAAAAAAAAAAAAATTTCTCCCCACCACCTTGTCTCTCTTGTGATTTATCTTTTAAGAATTCAAATTGCAAAGGACTTCACAAGTGAAATAGAATACATTTTTGAGTGTTATGTTTACTGCTGTTCACAGCTCTAGGGAGCAGTAAAAATTTTCAGTAAAGAAGTTTATAGCTTTTGTTTGCTTTGAGTTGAAAAGGCCATGTTAGCCTTGATAATCATTTCAGAGGTACTGGCTTATGTCTTGGTATCCTGATAGCTGAGTTACTGTACAAATATCATCCAGCTGCCAACTCATGACTCAATGACAGGCCAAATTTTGAGGGCTATTGGCCTCCAGTGACAAGGACAAAATCAGACTCTCTTATTATCAATATTAAAATATGATTGCAGAGAGCCTATTACAAGAGATTCAGATGGGATTGGATAACACAAATTCAAAAGATTTGAAATCCAGCTTTAGGTCAATGGTAAACCCTCCTGCATTTTGGTGGCTTTGTGAAGACTATATAAAAAATAGACTAGCTGGGCGTGGTGGTGTGCACCTGCAGCCTTTGGAAGCTGAAGCAGGAGGATCACTTGAGCTGAAGAGTTCGAATCCAGCCTCGGCAACATGGAGAGCTTGCCTCTAAAAATTAAAACAAAAAATGGCTAACTTAACTTTCATGATTCTGACAAGAAGCCAATATATAGTACCCTCTACCACCTTGGAGAATTATGTTCATGCACAGATACCTACACTTGGGAATCTAAATAATTATTATAACAACATATCAATTTCATATTCCCAATGCAAAGATTCTTAAGAAATAAAAATGAAGAAAGATCTATTGCTTCATTGTAGAATAATTACAAATAACATTCTTTGACCCATGACTGTATTTATTGGATACAAAACAATGAGAGGAAAATGAAAAATTCATTAATCATCAAATAAAAACTATAAATATCTAGATGTTTGAGAGTTTCCATTTAAATAATGGAACACAGTTCCTACTTTGCAACCCAGGTTTGGCCTGGTTCACCCAGATCAAATCTGCTTTTCATCTAAGGACAAAACAATGGAAGAGCTGGTACTAATTCTGTCTCTCACTGAGAAAGGTGAAGCCGAGAATAAATAGTTAATATTTACCTGTCAAGAAAGTCAGCATTTCAGGGCAGTGAGCTATTATCTTGACAAAAACAAGTATGAAATTGGAAAAAAAAACACTGAAGTAGAATGAGTTATAGAAGTAAGGTTTTCTTGGATTTACCTGGTTTAGGAGAAGAGGGACTAAAAAAGGTAAAGTGTATCCTGGAGTTGGGCTATCTAGAGAAGAATTTTGTGTAAATGGGCAATTACATCGCAAATGAAATTATACATTTATACATTCAAAAGGTAAAGATCATTTTCATTTAAAACTCAGGATGCTAGGAAATTTCCTTTTTATAAAGTATAGCTGCTTGGATTGTCTCTACTTGCACGAGATGGCCTTTAATAATCTTCCATGGTAGTCAATGAAAAAATTCTTCCTATGTTGCCAATTTAGTGAGCATAAATTACTGGGAACCTTATATGGAATAAATTATGTTCTTAAGCCTTCTCAGATGTGTAGCCAATAGAAATTTTAAAGCAGAAAACGAAATGCAAAATTTAGCTCGAAGGGGCATTGGTGTGTATTTGGAACCCTCTATGAAGTTGTTTCCTCTCCACCCCTGTGAGGGGATTACGGGGCTGCTTTCCAACCTGAGGCTTTCTTAGCCACATGCGGCTCTTCAAAAACCGGCATGTGGTTTTCGTCTTCAATTTAAATAAAGCGACAAGGAATATTGCAATGTTGATGTGGCAGTGGGCCCAAGGGAAAAAGCGAAGAACTCACTTGAGTCCCAGAAAGGACAAATAGGGAAAATGTCACCGACCCTAAATGTGCCATTACCTGACTTGCGTGCCTTTGTTGAGATTCCTGCACTGCCACCCCTTTTTGTAAAACCATTGTAAGTGCAATTCATGGGTACTCATAAATGCAAGGTAAGTTTAATTGATTTGTGGCTTTCTACGTTGCTGACGATGAAGTGGTTCTTGGGCTCTTGAAAGGTGAGAGGAACTTGATTTCAATACAGAGATGAGATGCTGCATTCTCTAAACTGACAGATGGAAATTCTGCTTCAGAATTCATTATTTGATGTGAAGGACAATGGTGGAAATTTGAATCTGCTATACAGTTCATCAGGTCAAAATACAGTCAGACCATTAAAAGTTAAATGAATTGAAACATTAGAATTTCATTTGGAAACACATATATGTGGCAGTTTCTAGGTTTCCTGATGATCCTTTCTGAGAGCCTTTTTTGTGTCATCTTAAGTTTCCACCACTCTTTTTGGACTACTAAGATACCCAACCTTACTAGATCTTTATGTTTGTGCAATACTTTGACATGGGAAGGGAAAATAATATCATCTAAAGTCTCCCATGGAGAAGGTGAGAAATGAGAGAACTATCTCACTACTCCTATGCACCCCCATATCTAACTATCTCTGTTCCTATCCCAAGCATGTAGCTATATATTGTCTGTTACTGGAAAATTAGTTACAAAATAATGAGCTAATTGTAATTGGGCAAAATATTAAAAAGTATATGAAGAAAAATTTAACAGTTTTCCTTTCTAATCAATCCCCCTCCATAGTTTTAAAATTGTATCCACTAGTTCTCTGATACTCCTCCCTTCGAGAGGCAGAGCCCAATTCCTGGAAGTGACATTCTACTACTTTGGAGATTAGATAATAAAAAAAAACAATTCTGGCTCTAGCTTGGTGTTTCCTTTTTCTCTCTTTGTTGGATCCCTGACTCTGGGAAGTCTTACAGAAAGTTCCACGTGGTGAGAAACTGAAGTCTCTGCTGGTGACCATCAAGGCAAGGAGAGCTGCCCCAAAACTGAGAGTGAGTTTGCAGTTGATCCTTTTACCCCAGTCAAGTCTTATGCGACCTCAGTTCCATCCAACAGTTGACTGCGACCTCAAGAGAGACCCTGAGCTGAAACCACCCCACTGCATCATTCTCAGATGTCTGACCCTCAGGAACTCTGAGATAATAAATATTTGTTGTTTTAACTTGCCAAACTTTTGGTTAACTTGTTACACAGCAATAAATAGATAGCTAGTATACTCCTAAGAACAGAACTAGAACAGTGTCTGGTATTGACTATAAATGGCACTTAATAAATATTTGTTTAAGGCATGAATTAAAATGAATAAATAAAAAGTTTAATTTATACTCTTCCATATCTTTCTCTATTTTATAGCCTCTTTTAAAGTAGCTTAACAGAAGAGTGTTTCTGAGAGGATCTCTTTAATTATTAAAAGCTCAAGCATTCAACAAATATTTATTGCTGCTATTATTTGTCAATGAACCACTTTCTTCAACTATGAAATACTTGGGAGACCACTTGAGAATCTGCCAACCTTTTATAAAGAGATATTTATTGAATCTCTCTCTGTAACGCTCTCTGACTAAAGAGGTTAAAACCCAGATGTTGGGTTAGGTAGATACCACTGACCAAGAAAAGTGAAGGGTTAGTGACCAGAGAAAATTTATTTTTATACTGACATACTCAAAGTATTCATAGGTGAGAATGAGAACAATGGTTGAACTAAGGAATGTACATAATGCAAAACATTCAGCAGATACTGGAGACAATTTGGGGGAAATGTAGTCCACTCATCCTCTCTGCAATGTGAAGTATGGTCAGAGCTGCTTTTGGGGTCAGATAATCTAGGTTAAAATCCTACTTTTCCCATTTACCAACTGTGATAACTTAAAAATCATTTAATCCTTTTGATCCTCATTTTCTTCGTCTATATTTTGAGCAAACAAATGCTATGATATAGAGATTTTAAACAAGACAAGGCATATAAAAGGTTTAGCTTATTGCCAGGCATATAGTAGGCACTTAAAAATTGTTAGCTACTTTTCTTACAATGAGTTTTTATGTGCCCTACATTGTTAGGCCACGTTCCTGCTTGCATGCCTCTTCTTCCTTTTTTTTTTTTTTTTTTTTTCTCATTTGAGACTGAATCTTGCTCCATCACCTGGGCTAGAGTGCAGTGGCATCATCATAGCTCACTACAACATCAAACTCCTGAGCTCAAGCAATCTTCCTGTCTCAGCTTCTGGGATAGCTGGGAGTACAGGCAGATGCCACCACACTGTGCTAATTTTTCCACTTTTTGTAGAGATGGGGTCTCACTCTTGAGAAGTCTGATCTTGAACTCTTGGCCTCAAGCAATCCTCCTGCCTCAGCCTCCTAAAATGCTAGGATTATAAGTATGAGCACCCAGCCCCCAATCTCCCTCCTTTTGCCAATGTGCAGCATGGTGGAACTGTCTGAAAATCTAACACCAAGAAAAATCATTAGAGTATTAGAGACCATTTGGAGACTCCTCTTGCACCAAAGTGACCTTGATGGTAGGTCCTGTGTGTTGTACTTCTGAGGTTTGAACTATATAGGCATTGCAGAAATAGTTCAGCCCAAATACTTCAGGGCTGTTTAGTAAAAGGGTCAAGTCAAAAAAGTGGTTTTTTTTGTTGTTGTTGTTCATCACTTGGCTGCTTTGCTTTACTTGACCATGTCTGAAACTATGTGACCTCCATACATTTCTCTTCTTTCTCTTTATCTAATCAACCATTCTCGCTTTGTCAATTTCTTCCTCTACTTTCACCCATCCTAATAATCTCTCTCATGTTTTCCTCTCTGTCTTTCCTTTCTGTCTACCTTTCACTCATGGGGAGATAGGAAGGAAGAAAATGAGTGGGACTGCAACCACTTGGATTTCTTTCTTTTCTTCTTTTCATTACTCACGTCATACACTTTCATTACAGAGGCACTTTGGAAATTGCCAAGCAAATGAGGGTTTTTGTTTTTGTTTTTTCCAGATGAACCCACTTACATTTTAGATAGAAGTCTAGGACTTACCTGGGCATCAATAAAATTGAAGTAAGCCTGGATAAAATGAGCAAAATATCCTTCCTATTTGACTTGCTCCTTGGCTACCAACACACCATTATTTTTATTCTCATCCATTTGATATTTTCCTTAAATGGGTCTTCTGGTCTGTTGGCAAAAGCAAACAAACAAACAAACAAACAAAAACCCCCCAAAGTATGAATACATACAATTTACCTTATATCATCCAGTTTGAACATACTCCTTGGATATGAGCACAGTTAGGAATATAATGCTATTTATTAGATTTATTAAAATTTACTTATATTCAAGTCCTTTGGGCCACACCTGCAAATAAATATGACCAATACATTGAATACAATGTCTAATTATATGAAATCTACATTTCTATTTTTTTTATTTTTAATTTTTTTTTTTTTTTTGAGACAGAGTCTCACTTTGTTGCCTAGGCTAGAGTGAGTGCCATGGCGTCAGCCTAGCTCACAGCAACCTCAAACTCCTGGCTCAAGCAATCCTTCTGCCTCAGCCTCCCAAGTAGCTGGGACTACAGGCACTCGCCACCATGCCCGGCTAATTTTTTCTATATATATTAGTTGGCCAATTAATTTCTTTCTATTTATAGTAGAGACGGGGTCTCGCTCTTGCTCAGGCTGGTCTCGAACTCCTGACCTTGAGCAATCCGCCCGCCTCGGCCTCCCAGAGAGCTAGGATTACAGGCGTGAGCCACCTCGCCCGGCTTACATTTCTATTCTGTGCACTTTTACATTTGCACATGTGTCTTTCAAGTTTAGTTTCTATTTTTTGATATTTAGTAAGATAAAGCACATCTTTTAATTTATCTTTTAAAGTCTTGGTGGGAATTAGAAGACATATTCAAGGAGATCTTGTAGAATGCCCACTTCTGGAGGTAGAGAAACTCCAAGAGGCCTCTCCTTACTTTCATCTCTCCCTGCAACTTACAAAGAAAAATATACCAGCAGATCTATGGGATTTATAGCTTCTTTTTGCTCTAAATCCATTATTCAAGTATAGAAAACATAGGTGCATAGCAATTGTAGCATGTGAAAGTTGAGAGAAAATATAGAAATTACCTATATTAGTTAGTATAAGCCAGGTTATGTTGCTGTAAAATATTAGCACTAAAATATTTGTGGTTTAACAAAACAAAGGCCCATTTCTCATTCATATTATATGTTGATTTCAGATTGTCAGGGGGATTCTGTTCTATTATACCCACCCAAGAGCCCATGATAATGGAGGCTCTGCCATCTATAAAGGAACCCTCTCAAACTAGTGGTATTCTCTGTGGCTACAGCATATGAACACCGTAGTGGCTCCTGTGGGCAATGAAATACCCAGAAGTGACACATGTCTCTTCTGCTCATATCTTTTTGGCCAGAACTAGTCACCTGACCAAGCATAACTACAGGAGTATGAGAAATACAGACTTCTGGGAGAGGACAGACATTGGTGAGAACTCATAATGGCCACCACATTAAATAATTCAATTCCTTCATTTTATAGATAAGAAAACCAAGGACTAGAAGGAGCTTGTATTCTAGGTCACAAAGTAAACTAGTACTAGAGTCAGCACTAAAACTCACCTCTTTTGATGCCAGGTACTATTTTTGTTCTTGTTTTATAGTAGTTAACTCTTTTCTATATGGGAGCTGATGACACAGAAATATTGCAGAGCTATGGGATACATGAAATAAATCATTCAGCATGAGTTATAAATGATGACCTCACTGTGATTTCTAGGTCATATTCTCTATTGCCATGATAGGAAAAGTCATCTCTTTCTTACTCAGGCCAATATGATCTACTACTACTACTACTAGTAACAGTATCTTTCATGTATCCAGAACCTTAAACTTCTCAAAGCATTTTCAAATATCTTTTCTCACTTGCTTCATACATAATGTATCAGATATAAGCAGTTTTAATGTCACTGACTTAATTTTATAGATACCCAGGACAATAACACAATGTGTCGGTGCTCACAAAGCCAGTTTACGGTGATATTGGGATTAGAATCCCAAGCTTTGATTTTTAAGACCAATGTAATAACACAAGCCAATCATTTCCTCCCTTTTCCCCTGAGATTATAGATTTCCTGGTGTGAAAGGAATAATTAGGTGACTTTCTTCAAGCTCCAACAACTTTTAATAACTGAATGAAGAGTATAATTTGACTCTTAATCTAGGATGCTTTTTCTAGATTCTTATGTTGACAAAAATACAACACATGTTGACATCTAGAAGGTGTTACATTGAGGCTCAATTTATAGCCCCAGTGCTTGGTTGTCTTTTGAAACATTGCAAACAATTTTGTCATTTTGATGTCCTTAGCTGGTAAAATAAGAATAACAACTATTCTAAAATCATGAGATTACAAGAGTGCCTGTCATGTTACGTGTGCTCTATACATATAGTACTCATTATTTGGGTATGACCAGGAATAGAGAAGGAAAGAGAAACAAAAGAAATAAATCTAGCTCTACAAATTTTCCTTTTATTTCTACTTCCTATTTCTGAGAAGCTATTGGGGTACTGACAGACAATACCGGTAATCTATAGAAAACATACAACTGATAAATCTCCTTGGGTTAGTGAGGTTGCCTTCAGTTGCAAGTACTAGAACCTCAGTAGGGACTGGGTTAATAAAAAAGAAAACATATTAGCTCACGTAATAGAAAAGACCTGGGAAGAGCTAAGTGTGCAAATGATGCTATTGGGAAACTATTTTTTATCTTTTGGCTCTGCTTTTCTTTGTGTTGGCTTTGTTCTCTATTGGATTCTCTTCAATGGCAGCAAAGATGGCTACTAGCATTTCAAAACTTATATTTTATTAGTTTATCCTCTTTGTAGTATTTGCATCAAATATTCCAGAGTTAATATCCATAGGTCTTGACTGGGTCACATGCCTGGCCATGAAAAACATCACCATCATTCTGATTGGCTAGGCTTAGATCACCTGTCAACTGCTGAAACCAATGGGTGGAGTCAGTCTTATTTAAACCTCAAGGACTGAGAAAGAAGAATGGAAATGGTGTCCTAAAAAAAATTCAAGTGCTGTTACATAAAGGGAGAATGGATACTGAACAGCAAAAAATTATAGATTATCTATTTTGGTACTCAACTACATGCTCCAACATTCAACAAATGATAAGGGAAGATAAATTATTATAGTTAAGGGTGTCATTTTATGCTGAAAGCAAGGGGTTATGATTCTAAGGACAGGTGGAAAAACCTGATAGATGAAATGTTTTCAAGTCACCTTCTTTGTAATACTACATTTCCCCAGAGCTTTGCATATGTAACAGAGGTAGATAACATCTTTTGTATTTTCATTTTTTACAGAAATTATATTGGAGGGGAGAAAGCATATAGTCAGTAAAACAACATTTCAAAACCTTGTAAATGATCAGTCTTCTCCAAATAAATAAATATACAGATGCTGTTCTATTCTTTAAATAAGATTATTTTTTAATCCCCAGGAAATCCCTGTCTTTCACCTTTGCTTAATCTGCAAGCAGTGGTGGTTCCAAGCACAACTATGTTTAGAATGGAAACCTTGTCTTCGTGTCCTATTTTTCTTTTTCTTTTTTTTTTTTTTGAGACAGAGTCTCGCTTTGTTGCCCATGCTAGAGTGCCATGGTGTCAGCCTAGCTCACAGCAACCTCAAACTCCTGGGCTCAAGCGATCCTCCTGCCTCAGCCTCCCCAAGTAGCTGGGACTACAGGCATGTGCCACCATGCCCGGCTAATTTTTTCTATATATATTAGTTGGCCAATTAATTTCTTTCTATTTATAGTAGAGATGAGGTCTCGCTCTTGCTCAGGCTGGTTTCGAACTCCTGACCTTGAGCAATCTGCCCGCCTCGGCCTCCCAGAGTGCTAGGATTACAGGAGTGAGCCACCGCGTCTGGCCTCACTGCATCTTATTATCTGAGTTTGGGTGAGGGTGGCAGTGTTGGCTAGAAGCTGATGGGAAAAACTCTGCAATCAAATAACCAAGGATTTGAAGCCTGGTTCTGCTGGTTGTTAGTTCGGTGACCTTGGGCAAATTTCTTAATCGGTTAGCCTCAAATTACTCATCTGTATTGTTAAGTCATTCCATACCTCATAGGAGTCTTGTGATAATTAAATAAAACAATGCACATGCAGTGCTTAACAGGGGCTTTGTATATCACTCTTGCTTCCATATATCAGTTATTCTTGTTGTATATCTCTAGATGCAGATTCAAACTGCATTCACAAGAGAAATAAAGAGCTAAATCATTCACCTGGATCGTGCCAAACTTCTGTCTCTATTAACTGTATCTTTCGAGCATGGGTGAAAAGTGAAGGAGATTTGCCTCCATCACTTGTTCACCTCACTACGCTCAACTTGCAATTGCTCTTCTTCCCATCTGATTATCCACCACAAAGCCAAGTACATACCATAAGGATTCGAAAGATTATAAGGGCAACAGTATTTTGTATATTCTAAGAGACAAATGTAAGCTCTGCAATTTGAGTAAACAATTAAGTTTAGGCATGTAAACAGAACAAAACAAAACCTCCCATTTGAGTCTTTCTTCTTAGAGTCAGTGAGCTTCAATTAAAGTATTTCTCCCATTTTGCTTTGTTTTGAACTTTCCTCAATTCATACTGCATTATATATTTTTCCCAGTATTAGTTTTATGAAAGATAAACCAATTATTTCTATACAAATCCAACACTGGTTCATCTGTAAGATTGGCTTTGAATATAAGAATGGTAAAACATTGATTTCATTTGAGCAGACCCTAATCAGCAGGTGGAGGGGAGCTTAGGAAGGGGTTGGGGCCAATATAGGGAGAGAGTGTAACAACAAAAACTTTTATAGAGTGAAGGCAAATGAAAATAGCATGTTCTGGGAAGGAGTAGCCTTTCTTGTCAACCTTGGTTGTTTCTGTCATCCACTCAGGACCACTGAACAGTGTGTCAGAAAGTAGACCTCAGTGAAAGAGCAAGACCAAATCCCTGCCAAATCCCTGGCTTGTAGTCAAATGGTGTAAACAGATGATCAAGGATGGTGGTAGACGTATAGCATGGCTGCAAGCATATATATGAGGAACAGCTAGCTCAGATTGTGGGGGTCTTGTAAAGATGGTGACATAGAAGTAGAGGGCTGCCCAGTGAATGGGTAATAGCCAAGTCAGGGTGACAGAATATTCCAGGAAAGAGAAGACGCAAGGGCTGTGAGGAAAGAGTGAACTACCCAGTTTGTGGAGTGCAGAATTCTAGGAGAAACCTGGCAGGAGAGGAGCTTAAGAAGGGGTTGGGGCCAATATAGGGAGAGAGTGTAACAATAAAAACTTCTTCCATGCCTACTCCCAAATCCATGAAAGTGGAAATGACCCCCACTGGTCCAGGGGAAAGATAAATTCCTTTAACACCCAGGCTTTCTGGGGAACTGAATGAAAACAACAATGACTGAATGCTTACTCTATGCCAGGCACAAGTCTAGTTACTTTATGTTGATTTAAACTTACCACAATCTTATGATGGAGGCAATATTGCTCTTCCCATTTTATAGGTGAGGACACTGAGGCAAAGGCAGTTAAATGATTTCCCCAGGGAAACCTCGCTGATGAGAGGCAGAGCCAGGACTGGATCCCAGGTGGTCTGGCTCCAGAGACTGCTGCCTCCACAAAGAAGGCTTGGAGTTAGATGTCCTATGAGCTTATTCAAGAATGCCTTGTATGTACAGCTTCCAACACAGTGCCATGGCAACTATAGAACAGTCCCGTGATACCAGCATAGAGATGTCAACTCTCATCTTTTTTGAGGGTCGGTGGTGGTCAGGACAATGTTCAAATAAAGCATGCTTATAAAAATAAATATGTCTTTAAGTGCTAAATCATAACAACTATAAAAAGTTATGGTGGTTTATCATAGAAGAACTTTCAGAGTCCTTTTATCTTTACTTGTGCTTTCTCTTTAACATAGGTAATGAAATTAGGTCATTGTCTGTTAAAGTCAGTAACATTTCCTGGTTCTCAAGAGGTGACAAAGAAGCATTTTCTTTGCCTTTTCAGCATGGCTACATGTTACTGAAATTCAAAGACTAGGGTTTACTGTGTCTTATTCAGGATTGTATTTTATTTTGTAATTTTTTTTAAAGCAAAATTTCTCATTTTAGTAGACTATGTGATGTGCTTTTGTCCCCAAATGAAAATGCAGACTCCAGCCATACCCGACATGCCTTTCTGGTCTCTCAGTAGTTCATAAATTAGAATGCCAAAGTTTCAGTATTGCCTTTCATGCATCTACAGTTTAACAAAGTGAAGTCCTGGAGACTACATCATATTTTCAAATGAGAAAAACAAAAGTTAAAGAGGTAGGGGAAGATATTAGCTAAATCACAAAAAGAATAAAAAGCTGGATTTAAACTGTGATGACTTTATCAAAGGACCTTATTACTGACATTGAACATGACAACCTCAAAATTAACACCGCCTTGCTAACATTTGCAGTCTACTCAGAACTTTTCAATTACGTTCTCATCTCCCTTGGGATAAAGAAAGTCATGCACCTTAGCTGTTTTCAGGTTTGGCAGAGGTACCTTAAGAGTACTTGTTGGAGAATCAGATTAAAAACCAAAAACAGTGTGTAATGTTTATATTCCCAGGAAAAAAAATGTGCTTCTATGAAAAAAATGTTTTAGGAACATCTTTAATTACTTCCTGGAATTGATTTCTTTGTGTCTGTGTTGCTTAAATTTTTGTTCCTGTCAAAAAACATTTGTCATATTGGATCAGGCCATTTGATCCTATCCTGTCTCCACTCTCGTTCAAGGACCTGTGAGCATGGACAAACACTTTTTAATTATCCTGATCAAGTGTGGGGGACATCCTTTTGCTGACCCCACTTGTAATCAACTGTGATCTTCTAGAAGCAAGCGAATTGACTGCTGCTGTCCTTCCCAACTAGCCAGAAGAACAGGCCATACATACATTATCCTGCCCCTTGGAAAAATCCAACTCAGTGATTGATTTCATGGCTGCCCGTGGCAGCAAATTCCTCAGCATGAATTCTACCAAGTGAAGAAGTATTTCCTGTAACTTGCTTTAAATTTCCTTAGCATTAACTTCTCCAAGTGGCCCAGTCTCTTATGGGACAATGTACTAGGGATCTATCAGTTTTACTGCCGAGTTACATATCTTTAATGCCGGAGTAAATCTCTCTTATTTTCCAGCCCAGACTTAGTAATTCTAACTTTCGAAATCTCCTGTCACAAGTGAACCTGCACTCCCCTTCTTGCTCTGCTCTGGAATTCAGCCATCCCTGCACCACATTTCTTAAGGTGAGGAAGTGAAAGATGAAGACAGTAATCCAAGTGAACATGTATTATTCTCTTCCATAATGCTACTGTATTATGCTCTATCTTATATTTTTATCCCCTTGATTTCTCTGCACAAAAAAGGGAAATGCATTGAAAGCAATGGAAAGTTTCTTTGAGAGATTTTTATCTCATCTTACTCACATGCAGTGCAACATCCCTCTCTTACTGCATTACACCACTTGGGTTGTTTTTTTTTTTTTCTTTAAATCCCATGGGAAATGTCTGGTATACATTTGTTCCAATTTCTACATTCTTTGGGGAGGAGAATAAGCCTTTCTATTAAATAGAATACACATCTATTTTATTTTTTCACATATGTTTTATTAAATAAAGAGAAACTTCAAGCATTAGTTGCTAATGAAACAAAAACACAAATAAAACATTCCACTACCCAAATACCACATTTTCTCTAGATTTTCTCCAACCTGTGCCTCATCTTCCTACACCTTCAAATAATATTATTTCTACTACCTTCATTTCATTAGTCTTGCAATGTCACTGTCATGAAGAATTATTTGATGGTTTCAGGAAACTTTTGTAAGATTTTCAAATCTTAAATAAAATATTACACTTAATAAAACATATATTGTCATTCTCTTATTGGGGTGTGTGTGATAGAGACTTGGTATTCATGCTTGCTAAGTAAATTAGCCTTGAAATGTGTTTGAATTCTCAGAGGCAAGGTGTAGAATAACAAAAATAAAAAGGAAAAAAAATCCCCAAATGTAGATCAGGTTGGGGTACACACTGAAGCAGGGATGATTTCAATTTTATTTTAATCCTGGAGTTTTTGTGAAGAAAAGAATGAGGAGACAGAAAAAGAGAAGGGGAGGGGAGGAGTCTAAGGGTATGACAGGCTGGGAATGTCTCTGCAGTGACCTCCATTTCTGCCTTTCTCCTCTATTCTCTTCATTTTCCTGCCTTCTTCCTGCCTTCCCTCCCTCTCTGCCTTCCCTTTTACTTTCATCAAAGATTATCCAGCCCCTCTTCATTGTAAATATTGTGCTAGGTGCCAGAATAGAATGATGCCACAGACATGGTCCCCAAGCTCGCAGAGCAGGACCAGGCAACCAAAAGCACTTGCTTTAAGAGTCGTCCTAGCGAAATCACAGAAGCGGGGTCAAGGAGCACAATCCTAGTTCAGGGGACTGTGGAGTTTTCCTGTGGGAAATGCTGTTAAAGCCAACCTGTGAAGGATGGATGCAAGTGCCCAGGGGAAGAAAATTCATCCACAAGGGAATAGGAGCCCAGAGCAGAGGTGGAGAAGGAAGGAAGTCCCACAGGGCTGGCAGGCGAGGTTCTAGTTGGGGAGTTCTCCAGTGAGGCTACCAAAGCTTGCAGGGACAGCCACTGCTTTGCAAACAAAACTAATGCTCATACTTGGGAAGCTGTTTGGGGGAAAGAGGGTGTTCTTTTTCCTAAATCTAATAAAGATCAGGTAGAGTTGGAGTCATTACAATAAAATCCTCTGGAGTAGCTTTAGTACTTCCAAGAAATTAGCAATTCAAGAATGCACTAAATAATCATCATTTCTCTCTCCTCTGCCCCAAATAGGGACCTGAGCCTGTGACATGGGCATCCCAGGGAGACTAGCCGAGTACAGGGAAGGTTACTGCGGTTGCAAACTGACAGAGAGGCTCACACGCTATGCACAGATTTTTCTTTAAGAGTCTTCTCAGCACCAAGCACATACAACTTAGAGATACCTATTTCTTAGGGTAGAAAACACTTTTTCAGGTACTTACACATTTTAATACTAGCTGTCACATTTTTTTTCTTTCTTTGCCTCTTTCTTTCCTTCACTCTCCTCCTCCTCATTAATCTTCTTCTTCTTTTGGTGGAGATAGTCAAAGCCATGAAAATCATAAATGCCAAGCAATTTGATATTTCTCACTGGGGAAGGGTCACTCTGTTGACGGTGAGAGGAAATTAAAGGCTGGGGTCATGTTCTCCTTGCCCATCCTTCTGTTGGTGCAGGAAGATAATTGCCTGGCTCTGCCTACACATGGGGATAAAAACCCTAGTCCCCTTTCCTCTTATTCTGCCGTGTCTCCAGGACTGCCAGCAGACCAAGTTTTAAGTAGGGGAGAACATTTGCTGGAAAAGGCCTCCTCAGAGTTGGGCATAGCTCTGCCTGACAGTGGCCTGACTTACCGTCCAAAAAGAACACAGACTAGGCCCATCCCCTTTTCCCAAATCATTCCTAATCTTGCTGAATCAGCTCAACTTCCAAATTTCATACATTGTCTACTTATCTCTCTTAGTGTAGGTTTTAATGTGTGTGTGTGTGTGTGTGTGTGTGTGTGTGGTTTGTTTTTGTTTTTTTGTTTTTTTTGCTTGGCTTAACAAAGGGAAATAGGAGAAATATCAAAGATATAGATTCTCACTTTTTTCTTTTTCTTGTTTTCAACATACTTAGGGGATACAGTACAGTTTTGTTACACGGATATATGTTATATAGCAGTGAGATCTGGGCTTGTAGTGTACCCATCACCCAAGCAGTGTACATTGTACCCCCAAAATATAGATTCGCTTTTGCAAATGTAAGAATACATTCTGAACGTTGATAGAGGGAGTCAGTGTAGGGTTCTAGGCCATCATCCAGTTTCTAGCTTCAATACTTTTTTATTAACAGAAAAAAAGTTAAAATTGAAGCAGAGATTATATGCCAAATAATCAAATAGCCATGACTCAGTAGTGTCTATATAGTGGCAGACAAATGTTTTGGATGCAAGGGACACAGGACATTTCGATCAGTGTTCCCACGCTTAAGGCAGATTGCTTACACTTTGGGAACAATATTTTCTTCAAGGGGTATGTAGGACAAAACTCTTTTGCTTACACATTTTTAAAGCAGTTTGAATATAATATTTAAAAAGTTTTTAAACTGAAGCTGTTTTATTAAATTACTATGCAGGGGTCAGGATAATATGGGTGTTCATGCAGATTCAAAGAGGCCAATCTTTTATTTTGGGGGGGATATTTTATTTTCAAGTGAACTTTATGTGACAACAACTTTAACTGGACAGCTATGTGTGTGGGATCCCCCCTTTGCAGGTAATGTGCTTGTCAGGAAGGGACAGCACTGTGTTCATCTGTTTCCCTACACACTCCCCAGAACCCCTCACTGAGTGTCTGATCCAGCATAGCTGGTGTCATCTAAGGATGCTGAAATACACAGCCCCCAGTGTCCATACTTGAGCTCTACTATTAACCCCTTTCCTGCCTATTTCCTGTTTCAGATAGCAAAATATTCCTCAACAGGAACAGTCAACTCAGAATAGCAATGATGATAACAATAATGTGATAACGACATGGACTAAGCACTCACCGTGCATCAGAGACTGAGAATATTATTTTGCAGAATCCTTACAGCACCGGGAGGACATATGTCCCTATTATTATTTCTATTTCACAACTAAGAAAACTGAGGCTTAGAGAAGAATTGCTCAAAGTTATAGAGCTAGGAAAGGGCAGATCCAGGACTCCAAGTCTAGTTTGTCTGATTTTGGGTACTGTGCTGTTAGTCATCACCCACAGTCGCTAGGCTGGGCCTCAAGGCAGAAAAGGTTCTGGAAAAGAAGAAACGTTACCCTGAGCCCTAGTGAAGCCAGAACAAATTTACCATGCGAGGACTGTCTTTTGGAGTGATTCTTTCCTGGTTTCCTTTGTTCTTCCTTTTCTTTTTCTCACAACTCTTTATTAAGCTGGACACTGGAGTGGAGTGAGAGAGATAAACAAGAAAGACTCTGCCCAGTCCCACCCCCTGTCCTCTTCTTATTCTTCTGCCCACGGGACTGGTAGGCTGAACAATCCCGGAACCTGGCTGGGGCCATCTCTTTGGGGGACTTCCGCAGACCTATGTCTCCCACAATTCAACTTTTCAAACCCACCTTAGGCAGAGCCTAAGCTCTGCTGTCATCTTTTAGTTTTGCAGTTATTCAAAATATTTTGATCCAAATCCACCCTCAGTACCATGCTTTATTAATGCAGATATGACTCATATGAATGAGTGTGTGTTTTGGAGCCATTTGCCCTGCATAAGTTATCAGGTTTCACCATTTACCTTAGTTTAAAAAAAATTCCACACACTCTGACCTCATGACACCTAAGCCCTGACCATGCAGTTAAAACAGGAACACTGGTTATTTGATATCACGAAGGCAATTCAGCTAGTAGACACTCTCAAATGTTTCCATTTCCACTGGAGTGTTGGCATTGTGGGAAGCCATAGATTATTAATCAGAAATACACAGGATTTTGTTGTCGTTGTTGTTTTTAATTTCCACAATAAACCCAATACAAAGAAGACACAGCTACAGTGCATTTATTTTTCATTGTTAGCACGGATCATTATGTGGCCATATAAGAATTGCTCAAAGAAATTTTTAAAAGTCACATGGATTGCTTGATGTTCCTTTTCCTACCTGAGAAGAGAAGAAACATGAGCATTAGTCAGGCCCTCAGGACGAGGAGGCCGCTCCCCATGTGAGGGTGCCGGGTTAGCCTGGGTGTCTATGGAGCAGGCGAGGGCCAGGCCACTCAAGAGAGGGCATTTCATAATCCAGGATTTACTCCAGAGGGTTGTGAGCCAGCAACTCACTAATGGGAACCAGGAGTGAGAGTAGAATGAGAAATTTATTCCGTGGACCAAGCTCTCCACGGAGGAAGCAACTTCACTTAACGACGTTTCCTTTCTAATTGGGATGTTCCTTTATTTTAGCTGCTGTACATTTTTTTTCTCACCAGATTTATTTATTTATTTATTTTTTTGAGACAGAGTCTTGCTTTGTTGCCCAGGCTAGAGTGAGTGCCATGGCGTCAGCCTAGCTCACAGCAACCTCAGACTCCTGGGCTCAAGCAATCCTCCTGCCTCAGCCTCCCGAGTAGCTGGGACTACAGGTATGTGCCACCATGCCCGGCTAATTTTTTTCTATATATATATTAGTTGGCCAACTAATTTCTTTCTATTTATAGTAGAGACGGGGGTCTCGCTCTTGCTCAGGCTGGTTTCCAACTCCTGACCTCCAGCAATCCGCCCGCCTCAGCCTCCCCTGAGTACCGGGATTACAGGCGTGAGCCACCACACCCGGCTGTTCTCACCAGATTTCTTAGTGCACTGAATGGTTCTATCTTGGTGCTACTGCAGGCATAGTCACACAAATTCATCACAAAAGAATGTACTGGCTATTTTGGGAGAAAAGATGCTAGTTTATGGACTAAGACCTAAAAATAGATAGCATTTATTGAGCACACAGGTGTACCAAGTATTGTGCCAAGATGTGCATGGGATATCTCAGGTAATTCTCAGAACCTAGTGTCTGGGTGCTGTCCCCAAGCCTAACTGCAGTTGAGGAAACTAAAACATGGAACAGGTAAGTAATGTGCCTAATATTTCAGAGCAAGTAAATCAAATCACAAAGCCGAGAAACCCTCGTGGCCCAAGGGAGTTCATGCTCTTCACAGCGAGATGTGCTCCTCCAGAGGGAGGCAGCTCTTGCCTTGGTGTCCAGCAGGAGCCATCTTTGCTAAGTACCTATTGTGCTATTATGGGCTTGCAAACACCAAAAGGGACATTGGGCTGGAAGACAAAACTAAACATATCCTTACAATAGGATCTAGTATTCACATTTCTTGCTATTTACCCAAATGAGCTGAAAATTTATGTCCACACAAAAACCTGCACATGAGTGTTTATAGCAGCTTTATTCATAATTGCCAAATCTTGGAAGCAACCAAGGTGTCCCTCAATAGACAAATGGATAAACAAACTGTGATCCATCCAGACAATGGAATATTATTCATCGATAAAAAAATTCTAATGAGCCACGAAAAGACATGGAGAACCTTAAAGGCACATTGCTAGACAAAAAAAGCCAATCTGGAAAGGCTACATGCTGTATAATTCCAGCTATAGGACATTCTTGAAAAGGCAAAAGTATGGGAGCAGTAAAAAAAAAAAAAATCAGTGGTTTCCAGGGGTCAGGAGAGGGAGAGAAAGGCAGAGAACAGAGGAATTTTAGGGCAGTGGAACTACTCTCTATGATACCGTAATGCTGGGTGCATGCCATCACTCTTTGTCAAAACCCATAGAATGTTCGACACCAAGTATAAACCCTAATGTAAACTATGAACTTTCATTAACACTAAGGCATCAATATTGGCTTATCAATTGTAACACATGTACACTAATGTAAAATGTTAATAATAGGAGAAACTGGTAAGGTAATATATGAGATCTGTCTGTGCTTTTCACTTAATTTTTCTACAGATCTAAAACTCAAAAAAAGCCTGTTAATTAAACAAACAAACAAATGAACGAACAAAAAAGGGCATTGACTTGGGTGAGACAGGCTGGGAGATAGGACTGGAAGAACATTTTTCACCCCTTTCTCTCATTTGCATGTTTCTACTACTTTTACAAAAAAAAATTAAATTAATTTTTAAAAAGCCCTTTAAGTGTCCCTATTTTGTATTCAAAATGAAATTTTAAAAACCAAGGAAGGTATTCAACTCCCCACTGCTAAATTTGACTGGCTTAAAAAAAGAAAAGGAAAGAATTCTCATCTTTGGGTATCATCCCGAGGCTGTGATGGCCTCATGTTTGACTCATTTTTAATGATGAAATTATGATCTCATGTGTAATGATCTCATGCATTAGAGGCACCATGCTCAAGAAGGACCCACTCAGGGAGAAAGTGGGGGAGGCACTCTAACAGAATAGTTTGGGGTCACTCGGGGCCTCCATGCTGCGTGCTGCTGCCTGCTCAGTTTCACACACTTTCCTTTGTTCTTCAGAGAGGCTCTGGAGAGCTCACTCTGGTGGTCCAGTTTGCACTCTGAAGTCACTGGGATGAGATGGTGCTTGGGAGAAAGGGGAGAAAAAGAAGGCAAGGAACAAAGAAAGTGAGAGAGAGGAAGGAACAAAGGATGAAAGGAAGAGAAAGCGTGAGGGAGAAAGGGAGAATGTAATTTTGATGAGCCAATCAGGAAGTTGGTATGGTCTCCCTTAAAGGCCTAGACTTGGATGCAATTCCTAAAAAAGGAAAGAAGGGTACCTTCATATTTTCTAGCAAAGCATGGGGCTGGAATTTGTCCTGATTCTTCTGCACATCTAACCGTAGAAGGAGCAATAAACCCAAAAGGGGACTAGCTCATATCTGCCACCATTTCCTGCATCCTCACTACCAGGCCTGGTAGACACCATTAATCATGCAACATACCCATCTGTGTGCCTGTCATTTGGCCTGCTCCCTATGGTCAGAAAAGCA